ATTCCGATTTTCCTCATTTTAGTCACCTTTACCCTATTCTTGATGTGAAGTTGACAAACAAAATTATTTACCGACATATCAGTACATCTTCTTCTGGACCCCCCTATTACTGTGCTCAAACTATATGCATTTTACGGCAGTTACTGTTTCTATAGCTCCGTCATCATACCTTTCATCCACAGAACGCTGTCACTGGCACACTGCAAAAAATTCAACTGATGTAAAGTCTTCGAAACTATCCTTAATAAAACAAAGGAGAAACGTGGAATGCATTCTAACGTGCACTGTTCAATAAGGTAAAAAAGGTTCATTTTTGTTTTACAATTCACGTTTCCGTTTATTTCCGCTGAATTAATCGAGTCTTAAAATAGCATAATCCCGTGTAAATTTATTTTTAGTCGGCTCCGCTTTCCTTGAATTTAAATTCCATCATCATGTAAATCGAGATATTTACTTGTAAATCTTTTAATATCAATTCATAAAAATATACAGATAAACCCAAAACATAACCATACTAGCTAAATAGCTTAAAGAGGGCTTTTCAGAGAATTCAGTCTATCGAAGACTTGTTAACGAAGAATGCGATCTTGACCGACTCTTATTTTCACGACCACCATTTTGTTTTTGACGTTTTGCCTACGGCATGTTTAGCGCTTGTAATTGCAACCATTTTGTGTATTATTGGGAAATATTATAATTCGAAGTTACTTTGAAAGTTTTAAGAAGCACAGAAACAATATCAAATAGTAATTTCTTTCAAAAATATAAGTATATATTTGAGATTACCGAAATTACCATTATAACTTAATTAATTTGCAACATTTGATTCATTATATGTAAGCTAACATCAGCAAAGTAAGTTGCAGCGATGGAAATGCTTACATGATGAGTATAATTCGAAACGAAAAGTAACGTGACGTTTTTATTTAAGTTATTTCGAAGTTGTTAATTATTCTTTCAACTATATCATTTCGATTTTAATTTAAGTCTTTGATGTATGTAAGTACGATAAATCAAATCAAAAGTGTATTTGTTACAATCGCATGTAAACAAATATTATGCTCATGATCCACTTTTAATTGATGTGAACAATATCGTCACTGCAAAAACATTTGACAACAAACAAACAAGAAATCTTAGCTGCAATTGATTATTCATTTTAATTCCTGTAATAATAATATTTATACACAAAGAATATGCTTAAATAATGATACATTATATTCATATATATTCACATGTGGCAACAACTACCTAGACTTGCCGCTTGTGAAATCAATTGAATGTTGGGTACTCCTGAAGTATGCGCACCAAGATGTCGCACAACCTTAACCCTAAGCTGGTACACAACCTGAGTTCAGGTTGTGTGCCATCTTGGTGCGCATACTTCAGGAGGTCTGAATGTTGTATATTATAACGGCATATCGACAGGTAGAAATTTAAAGTTATTGTTGTATTATTAACATTAACAGATGTTTTTGATCAAATTTAACTTGAACTTTTTTTTAGTATAGGCAAGGCAAAAGTTTGTAAAATGAGAAACAGTAATATTTTGTATATATTCATAATCGGATTATGGCAGGTGTTACTTCAATATCCAGACTGTTTATTGAATAAATTAATAATATTTTTCAATGTTCAATATTTAAAGTATTAAAATAATTACTGTGACCAATTCTCTAAAACTATAAATCAGGTAAAAATTATTAAAATAAACAACATAGCAATTTTTTTGCAATTTTTTTCAAAAATTCTGGCACTGTAAATTCTCCTTTGAAAAGCTTGCGACAGCAGAAACACCGACAGTATTCACGCGTGTCATGTTACAAGATCATAACAATCACATTACACTGATAACATCTATCAGCCTAAGGACATGTCCAAATAATGTGGAACTTGTATATTAGATTCACAGACTTTAGAATGTTTATACTGGCCTATAAGAGGACATCATCGTCAAGAAATATAAAAAGATTTTGGAATTGATAAATTAACTTGATAATTATTCAAAAATAGTGAAAAAATGCCACTTTGACCATATTTCACAAAAATAAGTTTAATTGCTATAAACCGTCAGTCAACATTATTTCTCAATTAATCAATTTGTTTATGCTTCGCTATACTTGGTTCTGGAAGAGTATTCCGCTTTGACTTGAACTCAAAGAAATCATTAACAATTTTTTCTTGGACACGAACTTTATTGGTACATACCAAGGCAACGACGAGCAAGGCAAAATTTAAACTAAAATTTAAGCCTGAGGGATGGAGGGTTACACCCAGTTACTAGCGAACTCGCTTCAATCACCGAATTTCAACCATGCTGCATGTCGACCTTTTGTCTAATTGCTAAAACGGTTGTGGTATTTTGTACTACTCAATCACAATCTTATCTAGCCTCAAATGAGCTTTGTTTATTTATTATGCGGAGTGAGGAGCAAGAACAGATTTTAGAAACTATTGTAAAATATGTTGTATGACGGCTTAAGAAAATTTTCAGTAAATCTATGCGACCAATATTTATGCGCAAGATCCGCAATATTCATAATACTCTGAAACTATCAACAGTTAGCTGCAATTAGAAATAAATACTTTTACACCACAGCGAGTGCATAATTTTATACAGGATGCATTTGCAAAAAAAAGAAGTTTCACAACTCATTCTGAATATATCAAAGACATCCGTTTTTTTATTGTTTCAAAAACATCGAAAAAACAAAATTCTTACACGAAATAAAACCAAAATGCTTTATAATAGTGAATCAATTTGCTGATCTAATCATTTAGGACAGCCTCGAGATGGCGTTGTTTTACGCTACCGATTTTATCTAATAAATATGAAAACACCGCACAAATTTCAAAAAACTATTTTTGAGCCATATATGGACATTTTTCAAACGTGCTGAAAGTCATGTATAACAATATGAATACAAAATACAGTTTCTCCCGAAGACGTGCCTATTGTTTTGTTATTACCTGGTATAAATATTTTTCCAGTGCTTTAGTTTATGAACATATAAATCCTCCAATGGTAACCAAGAAACGTTACCTCCCCTTATCTAATCTTCACTATTCAGAACACGGTAGCAAACAAAAAAAATTTTTTTTAGATCGCATATACTACAAAGTAATATTTTTCCATGAGTTTCACTTTAAAACAAAAACATTATACCTATTATGTTAAAATTATTTTTTGTTACGTCTGACTAAATTTAGCCCATTAATTTTCTACCTACAACTACTTGACGTAAAATTCAGACTCAATATATAAATGAATGCCACTAAAAATATATATTTTTGTTTTAGGTGGTGGGATAGACGAATCGCAACAAAGTACCGGTACTCTACTTTTAACGCCGCGACATAACCGTTGTAGTTATACCAAGATAATGAAATTGTGATCCGTGATTCGATAGTAAAATAGCTGTTTAACATATGAAACATGACACTGATTGTTACATTACGTTTTTATTTATCGGTGACAGATCTGAAGTAACGTGATTTCTGAAAAAAATTACATCTAAAATTATGTTTTTATACTTACACACATAAATAACATTCTTTCATCACCCATCAGCTTTTCTTGTTTTGAAAAGTTAGTGTTAAAATGAACCATAAAGACCTTCTTATCAATGATATAGCGGTTACTTGATTCGATCTTCCGGTAATGTATTTTTAAATGCGGGATTTAGGCGAAAATAGCGCTTCTGATTGTCATACCCTAAACGCATTCGTCGTTAAGCCTAAAATTGACACAAATTTTGAGGATCATAACTATAGGAGAAAACATCCTCGATTTGCCTACGCAAAATATATAAAAGTACCATTATCACATTTCAAAAAATCGATCTTTGTTATGATCGCCGCACGTTTTGGACGAAAGTTGACTCCGAATATCTTTGCAAAATGGTGTCGTTTACTTAATATGAAACATTTTGGGTTATATTACATCTTTATAATGTGGACTAGAGTGATGACCCAAAGATATGTTCCCATTGTCATCAAATAATACACTGATAAAGTTATTTAGTTTCAATAATTAACTTAATATTCGAAATCATGCAACCTAATCTTGATGGATACACTCTTTGTGCCTCAAAGCATGCACTTTTCAACCGAACCAAACTATGCCATAGGATTATCTGACGAATTCTGAGCCAATGGGATGTCATTAACCAAGTATGCTGACGTGGCAGAGCGCAGTATCGTAGCGACATAAACTTGAATACTAAGTATTAGTGAAGGCTAATCAATCTAAATTAAACAATAGATCTGGAATTGAATATTAATAAAAAATATTTTTTTATGAATATCGCGTTTATTGATCCAATGTAATCGAATTCCGAAAATGATAACGACATATAGGCTAAGAAGATATGCTCACAGTTACACAACAGAAACTTTAATATGTATTCGATTTCTCAAGTTTGGGTCGTTTCCCGAGCAAGCTATATGCTGTAGTCGCGAAAAACTTATTTTTTACCGAATGCCACCATGTATATTTTCAAAATGCAGCATAGTTTGCATTTTGTACGACAAGCATGACTCCTACTTGGGAGAGGAGAATATAAAGTTGTAGCTCAAAGGGAAAAAAAATAAGGAAAACAGACAGTAAGTACGAGATGTTGCTTCAATCGTGCGCCATTAAACGCCGCTCAGCTGACGTCGACAAATACCCACATCCCTGCGGTATGTTGCACCCCCAATGCCTCGCGGGTGATTGGTATTTGATCCCGACGTCACTAAGGACACAAATCTTTTTACTGAATGTAAGGCCACAAGCAGATACTGTCACCATAGTGTTTGTTCTTGTTAATAAACTTTACACCCAGCTGATTAGCTGTTCTATTCTCACAATATTAAACCTGTTATCTCAAATAGGGTTGGGCCCACAATCCTGCTTTTCTTGAAAAACAACAAATATCCATGTCACTTAATTTTTATCAGCATTGCTGCCTTTTCATCTCTTCCTGCAATCTTCGTCCGAATAAGTCAGTAGAACTCACCAGACTGATAGCAGATCATCTTCGCGTGACATCGAAGACCAAATGATTCTGACGTCATAATCGTTGTTCTCTCTCTCTCTCGCTTTGTGTCCACACAAAATGGACGACATCGGCATACAGCGGCTTATGTGCGCTGACGAGACTGTCCTCGAGCATAAACTTATACCGTAATCTAAATCCTCTGGTTACAATAAATTTTCAAAATTTGTATGGAAAGAACTAGCTTAAAGATCTGTAATAAAAGAAAGGGAATATTCTGAAAATTTGAAGAAAAAAACTTACGATAAACAAGTTTGTTATATTACGAGTGTATTCCATATACGGAATATGACAGCTAATATACATCGCCCTGGCTAGCTTGATAAATGGCGACAAGAGCTATACTTCCTTTCGCGGTATTATATATATTTCAGGTGTAAAAATATGCATTACAATGAATGACAATTCCAACTTGATATTCTCCATATTTAGTGCCAGGGATCTGTATTTTTGTTGTTGAGGGAACCTTCTCGCATTAAATACTCATATCGTGAACAAAACCCCTTTTCAGTCAAGCCGGGTCTCGAAACAAAGAAATGTACACACAGACACTATGGACATTACCCTAGCCATTTTAGTAGTCACAATATACATTTCAATACAAGCCGCACAACTAGAACGCGCAACATTTCTATAAATGGCAAACTGGGTTAGTCCTAGTACATGGAATGTAAACAAAGGGCTAGAATTGAATTTAGAACGTTTTGGAGTTCATGTCGAATGCCCTATCTTATGTCACCGCATTGTGTACAACGCCATACTTGTATTGCGCGCGATAGATTACTGAGACTGAATACACAGGTATGGTACATAAGCCATAACCTAAAAGTCAAACTTGAGTTATAGGAACACTGACCGAATATGCTTTAGAATTGGGCGCAACATATCACGCGATAGTAATATCTTGGCTTACTAAGCCAATAAAACGCTTCTCAGCATGCCAAAATTACTAGTAGATTGAGAACAATCTCTTCATATCTGCAGTCGAGTGTGTGTTACACAAGGAAGATCTATTTGCAAAGAACATTCCAGATTTGATTACATAGTATTGATATAAAATGGAATATATATGTTTCCCAAAACCAAGTGATGTTGATTTTTATAAAATATGTTTTCTTTCCCTTAAAAATACATCCAATATAATACAACATACTGGCACTAACATCTGGTGGAGATACCACGACTGACTATATGTAGTTCCTTGACATATCTCTATAGTTTCTATGGAATGTCTGTCTCATCAATTAAGTTGCAATTTCAAACTCGAATTGGCATTTATCTGTATGTAATAACTCTTCTTTTAAATCTTAGAGGTGAGCAAAAATAAGTTGTAAATCATATTATTTAACGGAAAGGGAATATTGGGACGAACAAAGGTAGCCGGTGTATCAAATCAAATCTCCTCTGATGATCTTATATTCATTTAAAAAGAACATAACAGACAAAGCAATAAGCAAACGGATAACGTTTTGCATACTTTGCGACTGCGTTAAAAACATGCCACGTCGGTGAATAGACATTCGGAACTTGTATCGTTTCCTTTTTTACCGGTTGTGCATTCACTTAATATAAATAAGACTGATAACAATCACATGAAAACTTATCCAAGATGTAAGTAAGAAATAGATTGCTCAAAATGTGGATTTCCAATCAAATATTTTCTGTCCAATCTCGAAACTGCAACTTTTTGCGTTTGACTTATGCAATACATTCAGTCATATCCTGTCTAATTAATTAATTCGTTATGTAACTCTGTGAGTAAATGCACAATGATATGAAGCCCAAATCGAATACTGTTCTGAGAATAATATGAGATAATGTAGATTCTAGATAGTGACTTCACACATAAATGGCCTAATTAGCGATTGTACGATGCATTTATTATCTTTGCTAAATTCAAACCTTGCTGAGCTAAATTTTGCAAAGATCTGCAATCCAAGTTTGGATCTATTGAAAGCCATACATCTGGCATACTTGTGTTCTTAGGTGTCATTGCCGCCCGGGCGTGGCAGAACATGAAGGTTGATTGATATCAAACTGACTGCATTGTTGCATTTTGTGAGCTTAAAAAGAGTTTGGAATAAGTTCAAATTGGAGTTGATATAGCAGGAAATCTATCTGAAAAGTCCCTGCGGATTAATTGAATTAGATAGCTTGCCAAATGTCACTGATACGTTTTGTATACTTTAGTAGTGAACGGAGATACCAGCGTCAACACGCGACGATTGAACGTCAGAGATACCCGCGACACTCGAGTGGATTGCTCGGTTTCCTAATTCCAAAACGAAATATCTGGCTGGGTGACAGACGCCTGTATTTACATTGCTCGAGAGTTTGAGAGTCGTCGCACCTGGCATTAGTGGCATAGACCTACACCTGGGCTTAGTATCGCAGTATGAGTGGTGAATAGCCGTCTCGATAAGCTCCCTAACTATTAGTGATTAGACCCGATATCCCAGAAGGCCATTTCTTGCGCATATTGATAAAATTATACATTTTAATGCGGAATATCTATCAACTTCTACAACTTGACATATGTTCTCTTTTTTGCTCTAAAAAATCCTTTTTTACCACCTTCTTAATATGTTCGCAGAGCCTAAACCTCTTATTCACCGATATTTTAGGAAGAAGGAATTCAGAAAAAGTACGCGAAATATGACATTTCAAATTATTATTCATGTACCGCATGGATAGAATACTTTTCAAGTTTGCATGAGCTGAACATCGGGCTATGTATGAAGTTTAATTTTTTTAGAAAGATATTTTTCAAAAAAATTACTCAATAACACTAGGTACGTTATATGTCGACCTTTATTACGCAGTAAAGGTTAAACGGACAGATAATGATTTATGCTATTTTATCGATTGATATAATATAACTTCCGGGTCTAGTTCTGGTTTCAAATATTGTTCCGAGTTCAGGGATCTACGTGATCATTAATTCACTATTATTCCTCAAGATTAAGTAGAACCTCAAACCTTTTTAGTCGAATAAATGAGATAAAATAAAAAGTTGCGTTTAGATTGACACAGTGTGGACCTTTACATATCAGTAGAAATAAATTTAAACGCAAAAGAAAAATAAATTTAAATTTTATGTCAGCAGCTAAGCTTAAGAGCTTTAATTTCGCCGCAAGAGTTTTATACAAGTTTTACATCAGCAGATTTGCAAAAGTACACAAAGAAATAAGCGCTTGATATCAAATTGAATTTGAGCAAACACGGAGATTAATCCCAAAATGATAATGTTTTGCACAAACAAAATCTTAGGCTTTGCGGTTTAATCGGGTTTCATTTCTAGAAAGATTTTATATCCGTAACAAACGCGCCTCATATTATGCACGTAACCTTCCTATTTTAAATAATTATCAATATAAAATTGAATTAAAAAATAATATAGATAGCAAAAGTACAAAGATATTAATCTTTTTCGTGAGAAATCGCTTTTACAGTATCAATTCTAATACACTTGAAACTGTTCAAATAAGAAAGAATACCAACTTACAATGATAATCATTTTTACCTTGTGTATTGAACACGAGATCATGCTAAACTCTCTACAAGATTAACTGAATTGTCGACAGAGAATAATTTGAATGTAACCTTATAATTCCTATATAGTCAAATTTCAATATTCAATAATGAAGATCAATGTGGAGGAAGAGTTATTTGACAGGATTCGTCTGCGACAGTTTACCTTCTTAAAACAAAAATACATTATTATTTTTTGAACATATTTCAAAAGACGTTTAAAGTCGCATTAGGCTTTGCCAAAATTTTTACGATATGAGTCTTCTTCTGTCTAAACGTGACTGCATAAACGTGATTAATTGTCAGACTGAAGTGCATAAAAAAGTAACAAATTTTGACTATTTACGTCATCAAGAACACAAGCATAAAATATTGTAAAATAAACACAAATATGCCATAGAAAATGGTCAATTATGGATTACTTTGGGTATGTTGGTCATCGGATTCTCAATGAAGGAAAAGTTGCAAGCGCAATCTTGCGCGACAGGATATAGACATAGGTCTGTGACTACGACTGAAATATCCACAACAATGGCTTGAAGCACATGTTAAAACGGCGCTCAAGAAGTGTGCGTATCAATATGGAGGTAACTAACTTTGTTCGTCTACTTCACTTCAAGTTGTGTAAAGGGACTGAAACCTATGGGTAAGGGGTATATTCACTTGGCTAACACAGACAGTCCTCAAACTTGTAATAGAACTAAAATAAAGGAAATTGGAATAAAATTATGGCCTAACCCTAACCTGGTACACACTACGGGAGTACCGTTAAAACTGCCAAGAAAACAGATAACCTCGACGTTATCTCGCAAAGATTTTCAGAATAAAAAAAGCAATGAGCTAGTAATATTTTATGTCTAGCATAGTAACTAGACGCACCACATAAAAGAATGTGCCATCCTGCAAATAGGTCTAAACATAACTGGTAACTGGTTAATCATACCTTGGAGAAATGTATGTCAATTTTTTTCTCAACAAAGGAAAAGATGTATCGGGTCTAACTTCCATATTAAACAAAAAAAAATACAACCTTGACTTTAATTCGAGCAAAATTAAAAATAGTAGATCATTGTTTTCTTTGTGAATAGAACTTTGTGGTACAAATCAAAATTGAAAGTATCAACAGACTGAAAACATCAGATTAGATATATACGTTATTCCGAAATAATAACCTTCGGTGTAAATAATTAATTTCCGAGCCACAAGCCCAAACTAACACTATTACTAATTAATGCGTGATATTGATAATATGACATCACTACCTCTATATACACGTGAACGTAGACTACTCTCTAATCTGACCGATAAATATTGATGAAACGTTATACATTTTTCAAACAAATAGCATTAAGTAATGTTTAAGTTGTGCAAATCGTTGTTTAGTTCAGGGTGTGGCCGAAAATTTTTTGCGATTAGTCAATTTAGATTATGTTCTAGAACCCTGAAAGCAACAAAATGCTGACTCAGTCGTTGCACGAAAAATTCGTAATACTTGTTTTTATAAAAACCTATTGTTCATTTTCACAGAATTTCCCAACAACTGAGATTCAGCGTACTTAGATACCAGCTAATACTTTTGGAATCATTGAATTTTAATAAGCTATTTTTTACATTTTTGTTTAGGTTTCTATGAGAGCCATTC